CTCTCTCTCTCTCTCTCTCTCTCTCTCTCTCTGCGTCTCTGTGGTGGTGGCAATCGCTTCAAAGGGCGGTTTACGTTTGGGCTTGTGGGGTGGTGGACAGGTTGCGGGGCAGCCGCTGGTCAAACTTGGCACGTGTCAACCTTAGAGAGTTACAGTAATGGGCTAAATTGGGCCTCAAAACAAAAGAGCCCAACCGCAAACTGCTTCACAGGGCCGCTTCGTCCGTTTCAACATCAGACCAGTGACAGTGTAAGGTGGGCACATCTCTGCGTTCTTCTCGGATTCATATAGCTTGGCTCCACGTGCATCGGCTCGAGTTCCCATGTCGTAGTAATAATAGTTAAGCTGAGAGATCCGGCCCTCCACGGCTGAGCCCTCCTCTCCCCGCTCCACTTCCTGTGAGAAGAGTCTTGCAGTTGGACTTGCAGGGGCAAAGGGTTAAGCTCGGAAGAACGGAGGCCGACGGCGATAGCCCTCTCTTTCTCCCTTGTCTTACTCATTAAGAAGCTGATCCAAGAGAGCGACGGCAACTGCGGAGGAGGAGGTGAGTATGGGGGACAAGGCGGTGGTGGTAGGAGTTGTGGACGACATTGGGGAGGGAATGCAATGCATGGATCACCCTTACCGTAGCAACACCGGTGGCGTGTGCGCCTTCTGCCTGCAGGAGAAGCTGGGCAAGCTGGTGTCCTCCTCCAAGTCCAGCCCCTTCTTCTCCCTCCAGCCTCCTCCTTTCTCCTCTTCCTCCTCCCCCACCTCCTTCAGCTCCGACGCCGGAGTCGTCGTTGGCGACGCTCTAGGGATCGGCTCCGGCCACTCACGGACCGGTCCCGCCGGCGCTGGGCGTAGGACCAAGTTCTCCTTTCTGGCCGCCAGCCACAGAGAGAAGAAGAAGAAGAAGAACGGGTGCGCCGGCGGCGGCTATGGGAGTGGCGGAAGGAAGGTGATGGCCTCGATCGCCACCACGACTAACGTTGCGGCTGATACTGCCTCCGCGTGTGACGACACCGGCGTTGTTCTGAAGCGGAGCAAGTCTGTGGAACCGAGAATGGCTGGAGGCCTGATGCAGGGCGGTGGTGGCAGCGGTACTGCAGACGCCGTCGTGGCGGATAGCCCTAGGAAAAAGAGCTTCTGGTCGTTCCTCTATCTCTCATCCGCCTCTTCCACCTACACTTCTTCGGCCGCTAACAACTGCGGTAACAGCGGCAACGTCTACAGAAGGAGATCTACCTCCTCCTCAGTCGAGGGAGGTGGCAGAGACATCACTAACAAGCAGCAGCAGCAGCAAACCAGTTCAGCAACAGCCGCCGCCAGGGAAGGTGGAAACAGCGGGGAGGAGGCGGAGAGCCCGAGCGGCAGCCAAGCATCGTCCTCGCTGGGGAGGAAGGTGGCCAGGTCCAGATCGGTAGGCTGCGGCAGCAGGAGCTTTTCGGGGGACTTCCTGGAGCGCATTTCCACCGGCTTCGGCGACTGCACCCTCAGGAGAGCCGAGTCCCATCGCGAGGCGAAGTCCAAGATCGTCCTCCACCTGGACCAGCACCACAACAACGGGGAACAGCAGCAGCGGTCGGCGACGAAGGAGCGGGTCAAGTGCGGCGGCCTCTTCGGGGGGTTGGCGCTGACGTCGGCCGCGGCCGACGACGACTTCAATAGCAACAGAAGGATCTCGGCGGCCGCCGCCGCCGCGGCAGTGCACGGAAGCCGGACCAGGAGCTGGGTCTGGGCCTTCGCAAGCCCAATGAGAGCCTTCAGGCCTTATTCCTCCTCCTCCTCTAAACCCCTTCACGGCATCAACAAAGCTTCTGCTGCGCCAGCAACCAACATCATCTCGTCCATCAATGCCAGCAACGACATGTTTAACAAAGGGAACACCAAACTTCGCGGTAATCCATCGTCCCTTGCCATCGAAAGCTAGTAAAGCTTCACATGTCCCCTTCCTTCATCACTAGAATCTGCTCACCAGCCATGTTAATCAATTTATTCGGGTTCGTTTTAAGCTAATAATTACGTTCAATTCGCATGCAAAAATGTTGTAGAATTGTACCATTTTATCATGGAATATGTACGTAGTGATATGAGGAGCCTCTTTCTCTGTTCTTTCTCTCTCTCGGAACTGCTGCTGCATGTGACTCCTCTTGAGAGTGCAACTGAAGACAGTAGGGCCCTTTTGAGATCTTGAGGCTTCGCAGTTATTGAACTTGCTTGTGGATCTCTGAAAGGTTTCCCCGAGTCACCAAATGCTGGTTCGAGAGGAGGAGAGCAATGGGTGGTTTGTCTTCTTGGGGGCGGTGTCTTGTAGCGTGGTCAATGAGACAGGAGCAGTACACTGTCACGGGCACATGACATACCCATCCTTGCGCCTTTTCTCTCGCTGTGGAACCCCGGTGCGCCATTGCGAACAGCCGTGACTCGCATCTTCCTCATCTTCCCCATCATTCTCTTCGTGATTGATGACAGATCACTCCACTTTTCTGAGAAGACAAAAGATAGTGCACTTTCTGAGCTCCAGGATTCCGTTCACGCTTTCCCCAGCCTTGCAGCACCCATGCTGCATCCATGTGGTTCTGTGATACTTAATTCATCCGTTTGCTCGTAGAGGATGCATGTGAAGGTCATTAACCCAGCAACTAAGCGCTTGTAAGTCCAGGTTTGTCTGAAGAAATTTGTCCATGTTCCAACTAGGAGCCAAGTAGCGTTGCACTTAAACTGATCTAGCCATGTGTGAGATGTGATGGCTTGCTAGATCTAGTCCACTGCTGAGGAACTGCTTCCACCTACCTGACACAGTCAGGTTGATGCCATCCCCTGCCAAGGGCCCAAAAGAAAGCGATAATTAAAGATAGATGGAGCAGAGAGAGAGAGTAGTTACTTTGTTTAAACTGTAGTAGAGATCATCCTGCACCTGCCGAAGCAAGAGAATTCATATCCTGCAAGAGATGAACGTGGAGGTGTTGTTAGACATGTATACAGAGGATACAAGTAGAACAGAGCTATCAGTGAATAGGAAGAGACAACCACATCATTGCAAGACTAATAATCTTTGGGTAGAGGTATTATATTGATGGAATTGTTGGGAGTTCCGTCCGCTTCACATGGCTCATGTTCAAGCAGTAGCAGCAGCAGCACCTTCTGCTCGAATTCATGAGGTGTCCATCGCCTGCGTCGATCGGAGCCCAAAATGGCAAAGTAATGAATGAACCAGCTCACCGGTTGCAGACTGTCTGATCTCCTGGATAATAAGCCCAAGAAACATGGGTCCAGCAGAACACCTCCCTGTAGAGGGCGGGAAAAAGATGATAAAGTGGATCCAGATTGCACAAATGTATGTTTTGCGATCCATGCACAGGTTTTGATATCTGTAATTTTTAAACATGGAAACAATTCTGGTTCTAATTCTATCAAATATCTTGAGAAAACAATATATATCCATTTCAAAATATCAGACTATAAGGATGTGTGTTTCCAAGTGTTGGACTGTTTGACACTGATCCAAGGCAAGGATTTATGTACTTATCATCACAGTTAAGGGTGTATTCTGCAACATCTTATTTGGCACTAACAATTACATATAGCTACCAAAGATTATGAAACATCTTAAGTCAATCTTTCACTGTCAAATAAAATGCCAAAATTCTCCTATTAGAGTTGCATACTTGACACAGATATTTAGCAAGAAGTTCAAAAAGGTTAATGGTGAAATACAAGTGTCATGATAGTTGTCTAGTTCTACTGATAATTTATATGGTTGCTTATTTTTCTACATGTTCTGTGTCTTGAGATCAGTACCTGAATGGTTTCCAGGGAGATGAATGATATAATGGATATGACCAACTGCTTCAGACTTCATCCTTCAGTGATATAATGGATGCAGAGATAGCATCAGCCACAATAGGAGCAGCAAGGTCCCTGAGGCATTGACTATTTGCTCCCCACTATTTCCTCTAGCTGCAATGCAGCATGCCTCCAATTCTTTTGGCATAGTTGACTGACAAGCAAATAGCAGGATCAAATTTCTAGGGAGCAACCAACATTAAGAATGGCATTCAGAACTGTTCACAAATTTCCCAGATCAATGGTGTGTGTATGTGTTGAAACAATAGGCTGCTGGGTGATCCATCAATTGCATCTTCTCATAGGAGCTTCATGTCTTTGGCTATCCTGTCCTCCTTTCGGAAAACATCAGTCCGTTACAGGGGATAACATCATGCTTGATTCCTTCCTTTTGGGCGCTTCCTCAAACACATGAACTTCGTCTCCCACCCGCCCATGCATTCACAATCACGAAATCAATCATGGTATTGCAGCTCACTGTGCTATCGGTGAATCTCCTTCTGCACATCTCGTGGTACAGCTTTTAACTTTATCGTGATCGCTTGCCTTAATTTCCTTTGTCACCATCTCCATCCACAAGTTCCACGCATCGACAATACCGTCGATCCTGCACAATCCATCAACCATTGTAGTGTAGGTAATCAGATCGGGGGAGTAATCCCTGAGCTTGAGGATGGACAGACAAACACAGATCTTGGGAATGAAACTACCTGCTATCAGTGGCTAAAGGAGACCGAAGACCTTGCCATAGTTTCCATCCCTGCATTTGTTGGCAATACAGGAGGCCTGGGTGATGTAACTGGTAGTAAAATCATTACCGGCAATTCCGGATTGCATCATCAATGGCGCCACGCGACGTCGGTCTTCCCTGCATTTCGGGATTGGAATGGGAGTTACCATGATGTGCCGTTTCAGGGAAGATGGCCTCCAACGCCTCGTCCATCGCGCCGCCGTCGCTGCGAATGAGGCGTCGGATGAAGGGTTCGAGGGAGGGCGGGTCGGGTCGCATTTCGTCGAGCGAGTGGTGAGCAGGGTACATCTTATGATCAAGTCCTATCTTTGCTGCTCATCTCCCAAAAAGATATAGATTTCTTGAGTGAGCTAGATTCAAGTGTGTCATATACATCCTACATATGAGATACATTTCTAACACTTGATGCCCTCCTCAGCTTTCTTTCCTGCATCTGCCCACTCTTCTATTTTCCCAAAGCTCTTCCACTGAAAGGCATTAGCTCAGGGTTGCTTTTGGTGTGCAAAGGCTGGTCATCTCATCTGGCTGATCTTAGAAAAGACTATGCCACAACTTGTTTGTGATTCTAAGGTGGTGGTACAGGAAAGAGAGAAGCTGGTGAGGGATGCAGTTTGGTGAGCAGTCCTCCCTCGATCTCCTTGCAGAATGAGCAAGAGAGATTTCTAGTCCTATTTCATGCATTCTTGCAGTGGATTATCATTGCCACCACTGCTCTCAATGACAGCCTCTTGGAGAACATGGCATTCGGCGTCTTCAACAACAACAAAGACCATCACATCTCCAAGTCTCAATTGTCTGTACTAAGAATGAAAAAGGAGTATCTATGTGATAATGGTTCTTTCGGACGGGCTGATTATTGAATATTTCTTATTGTTTGATCTCTTTGATATTTTAATTTTTAGACTTAAAAAATTTATATTAAAATTTTTATAGTTATAAAAATAAAATATCTGACTCCATTTATCCTAACATCATCAGTTTTTCTAACAGAAATACAAAAATAAAAATTAAAGAAGATAATCTTAATATTCTAGTTTGTAGTGTTGGATGGTGTCGATGGTGACGGACGACGATGTCATTGGGGGCTATAAGTGACTATTATGGATAAGAAAAACAATGACGAAAGGTGAAAGCCACTTGATATCTGCATCAATGGCCCTTTCATTGTTCGACAACTGCATTGATGCTAACGTAGATGTAGAGCAACGAAAGTGCCACTTGGGTGATTGTTGTGGATGATAAAAGCGACGATGAGAGATGAGGGCTGCTTTGCATCTATGTCAATGCCGACACAATTGTCGAGAGATCCTTTTGTTGTTTTGCATTTGCATCGATATCGATAGTTACCGAGCAGCAAAATGGTCACTCGACATCTACATCAGTGGCTCTTTCATTGCTTGGCAATTGTGTCGATGTTGACTTAGTTACTAGGTAGCATTTTCATCGCTTTACATCCACGTTGATGTTGATGCAGTTGCCGAGCAACACAGGGCCATTAATGCAGATGTCAAGTGACCCTTTTGTCACTCGGCAACTGCGTTGACACCGACACAAATACAAAGCAGCGAAAGGGTCGCTCGACAACTATGTCGATATCGCCACAGATGCAAAGCAACCTATACATTTTGTTATCGCTCTACTCATCTACAATAGCTACCCAAGCGATCCTTTCGTCGCTCTACATATGCGTCAGTGTCGACACAGTTGTCAAGTGACGAAAGGGCCGTTGATGCAGATGCAGAGTGGCCCTTTCGTCACTTGACAATTGTATCGACACAGATGCAAAGCAACCCTCACCTCTCATCGTCGCTTTTCTAATCCACAATAGCTTCAGCAATACCATTGTCTACCACCATCGACTATGTTTAGTACCACCAATTAAAATATTAAAATTATATTTTTATCTTTTATTTTTATATTTTTTTTATAATAAAACCGATGATATTAGAATAAATAAAACTAGATGTTAGAATAAATGGAGCTAGATGTTTTACCCTCGTAACTCTATGAATTTTAATATAAAATTTTTAAGTTTAGGGACTAAGGTATAACTACGTATAACTACAGAAGTAATATGTAATTAACCCATCTAAAACACATATGTTGAATAAAAATATCATATTTAGTAACATTAATCTAAGAGGAAGAATGATATCGATAAAAGATGATATTAACAATGAGGAATCGTGACAATTTTTTTTAGAGTAAATGCACATAAATGATTTCAAGTGGGAAAATATGTTTCATAATTAAAAAAAAAATCAATAAGAAAACGAAAGTGTAGGTGTGCTTGCACTAAAAGACCCAATATTAGATAAGTAGTGGAAAAGAGATTTGATCATGGACCTTGCTATCAAGTACTTAAAATCTTAACTAAATAGGTTAATACTTAAATTACTTGACCCTCAACCTTGGATATATTACACGATCACATAATAATTATTTATTAAATAAAAATATTTATTTTTATTATATATATACATACATATATATTATACATACATACATATATATATATA